CATTATGCCTTTTAGGCTAGCACCTTGCCAGAGAAGAATTGCCTCTAACACCATGCTATTATTCTATTTTAAGAACCTTAAGCAACAGGGATTTCATCACTTGAGTTGGAAGATTATTTAACAGACTAGTAGACCTTATGACTGTGAAGTATTTCCTAATATTATACCTACATTCTTCCATTTCCTGAGCTCATAGTTATCATATCTCAACTCATTCTAAACAATCCGTCTTTCTTCCAGTGCTCCACACATCGAACTGTTCTGCAGTGCTTAACGAAGTGTTTCCCATACGGTGCTTACAGCTCGTTAGAGTCTATTCTGACGAAGTACAGAAAACTAATTTTGTGAGTGGGGTATTCAGCCGATCACTAGAAATACAGATACAAGCCCCTTAAACTAGTACACCAGAAACTACAGCCTGGGCATCATGTTACCGCACTGCAGAATCAGAAGATAATATTGAGAACCATATCGCACAACTGTGGGCCTTTGGTGTACACTGTGAAACCCTTAGACATAGGAGAAGCTTCACTATAGTGTACTTAAAATTCCAAGGGAAAAATGCAAAGTTAGATATTGTTATAAGTCAGCTCTTTTGGAGCTTTTTCCTTATGTTTACACAATTGTTTCACTCCACTTTGAATCATACTGGTTTCAACCTTAACATAACTTTGCTAGTCATTCACTTTTTCTCATATTTAGCAGAGAACACTCATGCTCCTTTTAGATTGAAGTATCAACCCCTCTGTCTAAATAAAGACTAATGGTTTAGAATGTTACGTATTTTTAAACCTCAAAAGTAGTGGGCCAGAGCTGAGGGTAAACTTGAACTTTTCAGGTAACCTGGGACAAAAATATTACTAGAAAAACCTATCTGTGGCATGGAACAAATTTGGAGAAGGCTGAAAGCAGGACCTGGAGCTCAGCCTGAGCCTGGGGTTCCCCAGCTGTCCCACAGGTGTCAAGCCATGCGGCTTTGCCACAGCAGAAGGCCTCATGTGGGCCTTGCTGCACTGTGGTATAGAGCTACTCTGATGTGGGAAGCCATGGGATGGGAGGCGTGAAAGTGGCCTGGAGGGCTGCACGCTCTGCACCGAGTGGAGAGGAACATCAGTAGCAACAAAGGATGGACCCCCTCCATCGGTACAGCGAGCTCTCACTGCCTCCGCTTCCCTGAGTTATTTTATTCAAACACAACTGCCCTTGTTTGCCTGAACTATTTTAACCATTTAATTTTGAACATGGCAGGACAGCCAGTGGTGAGCTGTGTTGAGCCCCCCTGACCCATCCTAGGACCCAGCTTTGAAATGGAGTGGTCTTTGGCTTCTGTCATTGCATCCCACCTCCTTCAGCAAGGTGAGAAGCTGCCTCACATGCCACCATCATCGTGAATGAGATTCACAGACCCTGGGTCCCCCGTGTTGAAACTGCAAGTTACACATAAGCACCAAAAAGTGGATTTTAAATGGCCAAAACAGACTAGTGACCCTGGCTTGCAGGTCAGCTCCTTGCCACAGAGGCTGGTGAGATGCTGAGTGGTTTGGATGTCAGAGCTCTCCCTCCAGCCTCAGCACACAGTTGGGCAGGACCCCAGAGGAGCAGAGCCCTGTTACAACTCATCCTGATTAGCAGCCAATGGCACGGGTGTCGCAGTTGGCGTGTTATCGGTGAAAAGCAGCCTGGCTTATACCCACACTCCAGGGACAGGACTCCAGGAAAAAACAGAGGACAAGAAGGCAAGTGCTGCACAGCCTGTTGTCCCTACCACGGGAAAACAGCACAGTCCCACTGCTGCAAATCAATTTAATTGAGTCAACCAGAATATGCAAGCTGTTGCCAGAAAGTCAGCCGAGGAGCGCAGCACCGGCTCTGTGCACATCCAGGCTTACTGCTCTCAGAGAGGTCATGGGAGGGGGAGAAATCTGGCGAAGAACAAAGCTGCCGCATCGCAGCTCCATTAATAAACTTCCCTGCAACACAAACATCACGTCTCCTCACTCTAAACAAGTGGGGTTTTACTCTCTAGACAGTATTTAATCAGTATTAGTATGCCAAAATGAGACATTAGTTGGGATTTCTGAAAAGAAATGTAACCATCAGGGGTTTGGAAAGAGCTAGCACCACAAGACATCTGGCAGGGGAGAAAAAAGCAAGAACAGGATCTCAGCAGGACCCCTTCATCTGTTTTTCTCTCACCATGCTTTTTAGCAACTTAGAAGCATCGTGATTTCTTTTACAGCAGATAGAAGATCGTGAGGTGAGCCCCTCCATTTACATTAGCAGCCCCTCTGTTTATAACATACGCACACTTGTAAGATGTTTTCAATTACTTCTGTCTCCCTGACACACAGAGATTCTGCTTAAACAGGAAACTGTCTTATCATATAGGTTTGAAGATTTCTAAAATGAGATCATTTTGCATTTTCTACCCTACTGAGCTAGGAAATTAACAGTAAAACTTTACCCTGCCATCTAGGAAGCCTGATTTAGTCAAAGATGTGATCTCAGGTAGTAACTACGGAATCAGCTATTTATTTAATTTAAATAAAACCATTCTTCCAGCAGACAGTGAAGGGAAGAAATAATATGTCATGCTAAGACTTCTGAGCCAATACATCTCCCCTACAACCACTCTTGGGGTTACTTGCGGTGCGTGTTGAAGTGCGCTACTGATCTGTGTTAAATAAGCTGTGGTAGAACGGAAAGCAACTAATTTGTGCTCCCCGGGTGCTGAGCAACTAATTTAACTCTTGCTGGCACATAGACTATAAATAGAAAAAAATGATACAGTCTCACACTGATAACATTTCTATGAAAGTTAATAATTCAACAGTAAGGAAACAATTTTTTCTTCCTACCGATCTGCCCTAGCAGGAGTGATGAATGGGAGCTTGTTGCCTTTAATCCAAAGGTGTCTTCTCAGATGTTAGGTGTCTTCTCGTGTGATGACTTACCCGAGAGCTGACACCCTAAACATAGGGAGTGCCCTCCCCTGCTTGGCAACACACCTCCTTCTCTCACCCCGGTCCGGGATGGAATTAAAGACAAATAAAAGAATTCTGGGCTGGACAGCTGTGCATGTCACCAGGACCGCGTCAGAGGGATGACCCTCAGGAGGTGCTCATTCTCTTGCTCCCCCATGGAGGTGGAGGGAAACTAGACAACTGCTTAGATGAGCTCTCTAACTTGTCAGCAAGAGCAGAAGTGATAGGTCCTATTTTTCATCAGGTGACAGGCGGAGCTCGTCTCTACACGAATTTGTACAAGCGGAACCCTTCCCCTGGGTAATATTTATATCCATCAGAAACATTCCTGCAACATGCCCAAGTTGGTCACAACATCCTAATCCCAACATTAAAGAAGGCTGGAACAAAACCCAAGTGAGCTGGAAGAAAATGTACGTGCCAAATACTTCCACATCCTTCTGGTGATTGGAATACGGCTTCAGTTTGTATGGGCTTAATGTACAAATATAATATAAAAATAAACCAGAATATGCAAATGAAGTCAACTTCTTTTAAGATGAATGAAGAGTCAGATGTAACTTTCTGGGTCTGAGATTACTAATTCTTTCACAGTTTTCTGCATGGAAATCAACTGACTCAAATTCCACAGTTTGAAGTATCTTCCTTTTAGAGAATTGTCAATTCTATGAACTTGTATGCATCCACTGTGTTCAAGTATAGAGCTGTACCTACAGATGTTATTTTTTCAGATTCACACTTGAAATTGCTAGTCAACAACATTTCTTGCAAAGATGTAGCTTAGATCTAATCAGAAATCAGGTAATTCTGTGCCTAACAAACGCTTTATGTAACCAAAGACAAAAAGATTACACCACCAGATAAAAGGAAAAGCTCTCCAAAGGCATAAGGGTAGGGTAAAAGCACAAAAGAAAAGAGGTTGACTACTCTCAAAGTACAGTTTATTAGGAAATAAATAGAAATGAGTGATCAGTCCAACAGTAAAATAAGATACAAACATATGTTTGGGGGCACTGGAGAAGTTAGAAGTCCCTGGACACATTAGTCTTTGGCAGCTCAATTACCCCATATAAAAGGGGAAAGAGAAAATCCTTAGGGTTTTAAACTATTTTCATTTTATTTATTTAAATTCATTTCAAATTAATATAAACACTGAAAGATTTAGGAGCCTGCAGCATCTCGTGTCCTCTGGTGCTTCATATCACCTGGGCCCTCCCCATCTGCACCCCTCCTGGGCTGATACCACTTGCTTTGATATTGATACAGTTCAGGCTCAATCCAGTCTTCAAAGAAAAAGGGGCATGGAAAATCCCTCAATCCCCCTTTCTGCTCCAAGCCCAGGGCATGTGCACCCTTCCCAAGGACTGCACAATCCAGTGGGTATTATTTTGGACTTAATAAAATTAACAGTCTTTACATAAAATAGGATTTGAAAAGACATTTCAGCCACAAGATCCTTCCAAGTCTGGTAGATGAGACAACAACTACGATGTCAGTTCTGATCCTTTTCATATCATTGGCATCATTTGATTAATTTTCTAAACTAAGTTTATTACACTGCATATTAAGAGGCAGAAGAAAAGCAGATGAGAAAGACCATGTTGCTCACCTTAGATAATCTGTGTCCTAAACTGTTCTGCATGGCTGCAATGTACTTACCAAAGAGAGTTTACTGTGATTATTTACTGACTTCAGCTTGTAAGAAGGGATATTCTAAGTAAAAACACAATATAAAAATGCCCCAAGTTCACTCTTAATGTGATTTTCTCTGCAGCAGGGAAACCAGCCCCTTCTATACACAGTGTACATTCAGCACCTATTCATCTATTATTAATATTTTTTAAAATTACACTGGGAAATCAAGGTACCAAACCTACAGCTCAGTGTCACAGAAGAGATTAGTGAGTGCTGTGCAGATTACATTAGTCCTAAATTAGACACAGACTCCAGTCTGGACAATCCTGGAATAGATCTATTTAATATCCCTCCAGAAAGAAGGTCACTTTTTGGACTTACGGTTGGTTGTCCTGCTTTGATCACTCTGAGCACTGTCGTTCGACTGGTTGCTGGAAACCGAGGATACGCTTGAGCTCCTGACAAAACCAAATGCAGCCAGCTTAGCTGCTGGCAACCGTGAATAACCTGGAGGACGAAGTCCAGACTGGCAGGGCTTGGGGAGATTTGACTTTGCAGCACTTGGACATGAGCCTTTCTTAAGATCAACTGAAAGAATGAAAAAGAAAGAAATTTTTATTAAATGAACTGGAGTATACTGACCATTACTTGTACCACCCAGCTACACGAAGTCAGTATAAAGAGTGAATACAAGTTTTAATGGCTGCTCAAACTGCAGTGATGTCTTGTTCTTTGCTCTGCTAAAAAGAAGTTCTGTGAAACAATTACAGGTCGCAATAATTTTTAAAATGTGAAATGCTGCAAGGACCCACGGGGCATAACTCAGACTTCCAGCAAAGTAACACAGTTCAAGTCCGCAAAGATTCTTTTTAAAGTTATCTTCTTTTATGCTGTATCACTTTCTAATTTTACATTTGTTATGTGCCAATTAAAAGAAACTCATACACAGAGACAAACATGCTACCCATAGCCTCTAATTTTGGAAACTCTTGTGAACACCAACACTTCTCTTCAAGGACACAGGACTTCTTTGTATTCCATCAAAGAAAACACTTCTTTGAAGTCTTTCTTTCAAATTTTGCTGAAGGAAAAAGTCCTTTTCTTGCACCAAGCCTAGGAACAAGGATTTGACCTGTAAAGTTGTACTTGTTAAACATACCACCAGCCATTTCCACTGTTGGAATTCTCCTCACTATAAACAATCAGCCTATGTGAAAGATATCAACCAAATCTCAGACAACTGCCAATAGTGGGCTTACAACTGATGAAGATAGGCAACAACAGCAGTTCAGCTACCATGTCTTCCTGTGGTAACTACTAACTGGTCATCTGCCCCTAGCTTGTGTCCTAACCTGTATTCTGCTGCTCTTGCTTAGGCAAACTTTTCAAGGCAAATACAGAACATAGGTCCATAAATGCTCCAAATTGCCTTCAGGGACCAAAGGTCCATGAACACTGCAGGATTGTCTTCAAGGACCAAAGATTAGAGTTTGCTTTTGATTGGAAGGTCTGGATGCCAAGATCTCCAGATCTCCTCAACTGTACATAACATTAGGACAGAGCTTTTCTTTGTAGGTTTCACAATATAATATTCCTGTTCCTTGTGGAATATATATATGTTTTTATATATATATATAAAAAAATATGTATATATTAACAACAAAAAAAAAAAGTTCTCCAAAAGCTGATGCTAGAGTGTTCAATCAGTCACCAGGACCGGTGGATCAGGAGACAAGGCAGCATTAAAACTATCAGCATATTCTGTCAGAAAAGGCCACAAAGTCACCCTTTTTCCAATCTTCATAGAATCATAGAATCATAGAATGTTTTGGGTTGGAAGGGACCCCTAGAGGTCATCTAGTCCAACCCCCCTGCAGTGAGTAGGGACACTGCTAACTAGATCAGGTTGCTCAGAGCCCCAGCTTAATCGGGGAACAGTATTTGTGCATTAGCCTGACACATACTTCAAAGGAAGAAGTGAACATTCATAAATTAAAGGAAAAACAGAAATTAACTGCACAGTAAGAATATGATCGTCATATTATTACAGTATTTAATTCTTTTGTAAACTATGTAGGTCACAGCCTTATTAATTTTAATGAAGCATTACACTTTGAGGAGACTTTATAGAAAACAAGACTAACTCCTTTGAGCAGAAAAATGTTATGGGGATTTTGAAAGATAGTTGTGTACCTCATCACAATAATAATATTAAGCTTTGTTTAACAAGACTAAGCCTTTTCTTTTGGAATAGAAATATGTGTAACGCTGGGCTAAAAAGAATTTTGTTATCCTATAAAAGACATCAAAAACTGTTCCTTGCTCAATGAGCAAAATAATTTATATAATATAGACTCTTAAAAATGCATTTTTGGCCACTTTTCACAAGTTGAGGCCTTTATTAAGACACAAGGAGATGGATCTTTGACTGCAGCACCTTTACCAGCCGAGAGGAGGGCATACTGTGGAGAGTAACCCAAATGAAAACACGAATATCTATAGCATATAATAAAAGACTGCTAAAATCCCCATCCAGTTTTTTGGCACCAACAGGGACAATTTTGGACCCTGATCCTGAATCTGGCTTCGTTTGGACAACGTGCAGATGGGCTCGGAGGTAGCTGTGGGCTCCAGGTGCAGATGAAGACCAGTGTGGGCACATTAGCACGGAGAACAAACAAGCAGTGATGTTTATTATCAGTTCACTGCCAGGCTTGTGCCTATTACAGGTGGTTTATGGTTACCTGCAAAGCACCATCAGGCCAGACTCCTTCCCTCCCCACTGCTGGGGATATTCATGCCACATCTAAACGACTCCACGGCAAGGCACTACAGAACCTGATCTCAATGTTTCCCACAGTCCTACCAGCACAGCTTGCGATGAGTGCGGATCACATTAACTGATTTTCATGTAGGAACAAGAAAAAGTGTCCAGTGAAAGGCTTTAAGAGTCCCAAATGCTAGAAATGACACACTAATCATCTTTCGGACAGACTCTCTCTATTTGAGAGGACTAATATCTTCCTGCATTAACAACTGCTGCATGGCAGGACTCAGATTGGCTTATGCCAGTGTAAGGCTGCACTTTTACCAAATATGAACACCTCAGCAGTATTTTGGATGGGCCAGACCATCTTTCTTACCCAGTTGGCTGCACAGTACGCTTGCTAGTGGCTGGGCATGGCCAAATATCAGCTTCACCAGCTAGCTAAAGGACTAATTCCTCAAGGGCAACTGCGTGTGATAAAAGGCACAGAGCTCGGTCACAGCGTGCAAAATACTCCCTGTTTTGCATCGGTGACAGGAGCAAGCCCAGGTAGCCTCCAGATTTGAAGCAGAGGTGAGTACCCATGGCAAGCGGCTGCAGGAGCAAGGAACCTGCCCAGGTCACTGGCAGCAGGGAGAAGGTATGGGAGAGTCTCTTGTGGGTTTTACAGGTTTCCAAAAAATGCACCAACAGGCCTGCACTACATGAGACAAGAGTTGAGAATCCTTTTTCCTAAGAATCTCTGAAAATTAAGGTGGAGGGAGAAATCTTTCCATCTTACAGCAAAACACTATAAATATCACGGATTTCCTGCAGCAGAATAGGGGAAATTCCACTGGGACAGGGGGGAAAGTGGTTAGAAATGGTTTTATTTAAAAAGCATTTGAAATGCGCTTGCCCTAGGACAGTGAGGTTCACCTGGGACTCCCATGTCCTCAGCTCAACCACAGGGATGCCCACACTGAGTCCCCAGGCTGTCTGTTCTCTGCATCGCCATGCAATCAAGCGCCTGCAGCCTGCGGCACACTGAGCACCATGGGTGTCACTGAAGAACTTCCTTAAAACCAGAAGGTTTTCTGGTGACAAATTGCCCAGCCATCTCTACCTTTTCCTTAAAATTATTCTCCCAGACTTGGGCAGAGGGTTCAGTGATTTTTCTCACACTTCCATGCATGTTTCAGTTTATGACCTTAATTCAAATTCCCCCTAAACTAACAATATTTTGTGTCTTGAACTCATCATCATCCTTAAATTATTTTTCACTTCTCTTCCTTGTAATCCAGCTCTTCTGCACCATGAGGACCTGGGGGCAGGACATTATCCTCATTAGGGATGCATTGAAATCCTTAAAGCTAAGTCATTTTGTGTCTTCTCATTAAAATACATGAGACATCAGCCTATTGTACGTACTTTCTCTTCTAAATATCATCAAGTTTTATGATGGATGTTCCTTCTTTATTTCTGTTTTTTGGAAGTATAGAAGCACTCCTGCAAACAAGGTCTGGGAGTTCAAAACAAAAGTTATTTTAATGAGCAGCTTTCCTTTTAGTAAAAATCTGCCAAAATAAGCTTCTAAAAATTGGCAAAAAATCTTTCCAGCTGTCTCACTGCCTGAAGCTAATTATAGAATTAAGTATTGTTGTCTGTATGGCACATGAGCGATTTTCTATGACACTTCAAGCTGTTCCCATCTAGAAACATGAAAACATTTTGAGGTAGCAGCTGATTGACACAAACCAGATGTGCCTGGGGAGCCTTCAGAAAAGTCTGAGCTGGGCTTCGCATGCATCTCCACTGCACATGAATCGCATCTCCATGCACGTGTACAAGCAACTTTCATGTGACTTCTCTGTGAAATCTGAAATAATTTCTAGCTGAAGTGAATGAAAAATTAAAGAAACACAGATCTGTTCTTATGAAAAAGAGTAGCGTTTCAAGACTTCAGCTCTGCTTGTGACTCAGGGATCCTTGGCAACCCTTTGTTTTGTTGTGGTGGGGTTTTTGGTTGGGTTTTGGTATTTTTTTTGACAAGCATTTCCGTTAAAACTTTAATCATTATGTGTCATTTTCTCTCAGAAAGCTCACTTTCTGTTATAGGATGCTCTGAACACCATTATTCTCATTTCATATTGGGGAATCTGAGTTGAAGAAGTTACCTGCAAGGTCACTGAATTAGTCGGAGATAATACAGTTAACCCACCTCGGAGTTAACCCAATCACTGATACCTTTGCAGATTAAAAACAAATTGCACAAGTAAGAAACCTATTCTGTTGCCACTACTTTTGTGGTTTCCCTCTTATAGACATACTGACTTCTCTCTGGACAAGAACTGAGGAAAGGGGCTCCCCCGATGGTCTCTCATGAAAATACTGTCAAGTCTGGGACAGTTCAGTTCCAAAGGCAAAACAGTTGTCACTGCTGAACATCAATTAATTTCTGATCGGCCAGTCCACCATCATATAGTAGGAAAAGCTCATCTCCTCCTGATTCAGATTGAAAAACCCCCAAAAGCTGCTCTGCACCTTCCCAGCCCCAAGGCAACCCAAGGCTGGTTAGCATGTTCTCACCACCCCAAGAATTCAGCAGCTCGTGCTTCATTCAAACTGCAAATGTCCATGTTTGCTTTGTAGCTGGATGTGCAAAGCAGCAGCATCCCACAGAAACTTCCAGTGCAGGGTTTGTTCAGCCTTGAGAAAAGGAGGCTCAGAGGGGATCTCATCGCCACGTACCAGTACCTAAGGGGTAGCTACAAGGAATATGGAGACTCCCTTTCCACAAGGAGTCCCACGGAGAGGACAAGGGGGAATGGACACAAGTTGC